CACATGAATATTGGACACTTAAAAATCGCTTGCCACTGATTTGCATGCACCTATTTTCTTTCATGTTAGCAAAAACTGCCAATCAGAAATAAAAGGGCACAAAAAAATGCAATAGCCAAGTATTCAAAGTGACCATTTAAGATGTGATTTTGTGTACAGAGCAAGCCTTTCTGTGCAGTAAACTGATAGGAATCACTTCTAGTTAAATCATAAATACATATTACAGTGAAACACTGTTGGACAGTGCTCTGTCATCAATCAGTCTGTGTTCTTGAGGACACTATTTTTCAAGATGTCTCCTTTAAGAATAAAGCCCTGTGTTGTAATGAATGTGTGCTAACTGATCCCCCAAGCCATTTGTTTGGTTTTGGTTTGTTTTTTTTTTTTATTTGTATCCGTGTCAGAGTTGAGCTTCTGTAGGAAATTTTTTTGCAGTATTTTATTTGTAGTCCTCAAGTTAAGGACACACTCTTTACGCACCCAGAGTCTGCACTGGTTCGTTTATATCCTGCATTTTGTTAACATGTTACCGCGATTGCTGATTTTCATGACAATTGTTATTGTACCATCAGTGCTTAATGGCACGGCATCATTATTCAATGCTGGTCAATCAGGCACTAAGACATGTGCAAGACATCAGGCTGAACCCATATAGATGTCGTGCACTCCCCTGCTAATGAATGCAGTTTTATAGAAAGGTTTAAACACGGTTGGCATCCTTAATGTAAGGTTTGCAAAAGCTTATTTGGGAGCTGCTTTGTGTTTATATGGAGTAGATCTAAACATGGCACAAACAGAGTTAGACCCATTGTGTGCGTGTGTGTGTGAAGCTAAGGACAAGCACGAATCCTTTGGGGGTTTGAAATGTGGAAAGGCAGCACAATTTCTGCCAGGGCAGCAGTGAGGGGAATGGATTTTCCAGGAGCATCAGTGTTTGGTAGCACATGTGGGACCTGTTCTGCAGAGTGGTGGTTGCCCTGTGCAGTGCAGCAAGGAGGTGATCCTCAAAAGCAGGTGGTGTCCTGAATTTGGCACTGGCTGGAGGCACCCTCCAGCACAGCAGTGGTTGGAGATTAGGCACTCTGACCATAAGGGTCAGGCATCTGGAAAGGTGGAGCAGAAGGAAACTCGAGAGGAGAGGGATGTGCTTTCTGTGTTATTAGTCCAGAGTGCCCTTCCAGTGCGTCAGTTAAAGTTACCCTTGCGTCTGCTTTAGTTACGGTTTCTGTGTGGTTTTGCACCCAAATATTTTGGGCTGCTGTCCATAATAAACTAGATGGAGCTTGGTTAAAAGCACAGATTTTTTGTCTCTTCTAACTCAAAGTACAATGAGCCCTTGTGCTCCTAGAGCCTCGAGTATGAAAGGAACAGTAGACATTGGCTGTTAACGAGCTCCCGAGCAGGGCTCCAGCAGAACTTGGTGTGAATTCAGTGCCTGAGCTGCATCAACTAAATGGTTAATTCATCTCATATCAACAGCACTGTGATTCATAATGTAAACTTGAGGAATCCTTGATGTTTCAGTCACACATTCCTCTTAATTTGGCCATGCATTCTTTTAAAGCTACAGTGTGCTAACTTAATAAAATGCAGCATGCAAATGCACAAGTTTTTGCCTTCAGGCATTTTAGCCATGGATGTTTCAATGGGTGTCTTCTTTCAAGTATATATTCTTTCCTAAATTATTTACCCTGTAAACATGCTTTGCATTTTCAAAGAAAAATCTGGGCTTCCTCATTCACCAGATTTTGTTGAATTTAAGGTGTAATAGAGATAAAAGACTATCATCTGCTTCTTGTGAGCATGTTAGCCTTTGGGATTTTTTTTTGTAGCAAGCTTAGGCCCCATTTTCTTCTCCTTTGGTATTATCACTCCCTCCCCCACTTAAATTCCTTGATGCTTTGCCTAGAGCAATACCCACTGGCAGTGTCTGGCTGTGACAGTACTATAGGCTTCCCTACAGATGGGTCCTGCCAATGCCAACCATTGTTCTACAACTGTGAGCTGGCTTGACTGTCTTGGATCACTCAAAACCCCCTTTCCTCTTCCTTTTTTCTTTACTCTAAAGGGTCGTCCTTGCCTGTTGACTTTGAGATCTGAAATGTGCTGACACCCAGAACTTGTGTTCTCTGTCTTAGCAGCAGCTCCCAGACTCCGATTTCAACAGGCACCACTGAGTCCTCCTTGGGACTGTCCTGCTGCTGCCAAAGAGCTCTGTCATTCTCCTCCCAGCCCCATCCTTTGGACAGTATGCAGTTAGTTTAATTTTACTTGCTCACTTGAAAGGAAAACAGTAAAACTCAGTGTTATTCTTTTTTTAAAGATATAGAATTAATCTTTAACTGTGGACTTGAATATTAAAAGTATATAATGCTTCAGTGTAAGAATCTGTTGATAATATCCATCCTATTTCATGATTAATTTGTTCCTTTTAATATGATATTCTTTTGCTGCACTGTGCAGACTAATTCAGATTCCTAGAAATTGAACTTTGATATGTATTTCCTAGATTCACACCGTAAGTGAACCTTCAATTAGCAGATACAGGTGGTGGCTGGCCTCACTCAGTGTTTTCTTGAGAAGGATTTTAGAGACACTGATTAAATAATCTTGCAATCAGGTGTGTACTGACAGGGTATTAAAAATAAATATTAAAAATAATGATGATTTGGGGGACTTCATGCTTCTTTTTTCTTTTTCTTTAGTTTTGCTTCTCAGACAATGCAATGATTTTTTCGGTGGGCCAGAGATAGGAGGAGTTGATTTAAACACTCAGTATGTTATGTATGCCTTTGCCTAACTATGTGTTAGATTAAGCGAGTTTCACTCACAGTTAATCCTTTGTAAATTAGCATTATGGATGCCTTGGGGCCCACATCCCACAAATAAAATGGTTGTCAAGCCAGCTGCACTGTGTATTACTTAAGGCTGAATGTTTTAAGAGTTTTCATGCTTTTAATCTATTTCACTGCTGAGTTTCAATTTTGCTGAGTGTCCTTTCAGGAGTGATGAGGGCGAGTGAGTAAATATATATTCTGGTTTTCATGCATTTGCCTGGGCAAATCGTTTGTTATCAGGTGTTTGGCAGAGAATGTCACACCCCGCCACAAAAGAGAAGCTTGTAAGTTCAGGTGTTAAATTGAAGTGCAAACCAACAAGAACCAAAAGCCCTTAATTAGCTTTATTTTGTTAGCCTGCTACACTTTTTTTTTTTTTTTAGGGAAAAAAAGAGTGAGAAACATCCCTCCCTCCTCCTCATCCTTTTGGCAGAGTAAATATTGCCTGTTAAGTTTGAATTAGCTGTCATCGCGAAAGAATTAATGCTGTGGTTGAGCCTTTCTAGTGAGGAAGGGAAAAATAAACGAGACAGATCTTAGTTCAGCTTTAAGTGATAAATGAGGACAAAGCAGCCCATTCATCTCCTGCTAGGAAAGTGGACACAAACACTAAAGCAGTTTTGCGGAAGACGTGTCAGCAAATGTGATCATTTTGTAACCTGTCAGGAGGATAGAGAGCTAGTCCTTTTAGAGTGTCACAGGGGAGGGTGTCTGTCTGATGTGACAGTTTTCATCCATCCATTTACTGCTTTTCCTTTAGGTGGGGGGTAAGCAAGGAGAGAGCTGGAGTTGGTTAAAACTGCATTTTTCTTTACACTTCCCAGTATAATTTATATGTATATCCACCCGCATCTAAATGAAAAACATTTACCAAGAAAAACTCCCCCCTGCTCTCTGGAGTTTCTTCTCTCTTTCACTGCGTGAAATATGCTCATTTTAACACATTACACTCCCTGTCTTCAAGTTGTACTAGGTTTGATGTTTCACATAACACAGTTTTACCTCTTCTTACCATTGTTTGGTTCTTGCAGACTTTGTTTTGTTTTGTTTTGCAGAAGCATGAGAAAAAAATTTATAACTTGGGGTGCTTTTATTGCACTTGGTTGTTGGGATTTTTTTTCTCCAATTTTTTTTCTCCAATTCTGATGATAAGCTTCATGTACAAGTGTGTTTTGCAAAACTCCCTATTTATGAAGAGCCTGTGAAAATAATCTTCCTTCTCTGTGAAAATGGAATAACAAACAGTGAATTCTTACAATCCAAAATCCTCCTGTAAAATGCCTCAAATTCTACTGTTTCTTGATTTAGTAATTTTAATTGACCTATTAATTTTAGGAAGAACTTGAAGTGATGTGATGACTGATTTTAGAAGCAGGAATTTCTCCCAACAAATAATGGAAAAATATTAGGACTTTCTACTTCTGGCATTTTTTATTTTCACTAATCTTCATTTTTTTCATACTGCATAGAAATGTAACATTGCCTATTACCATAAGTAAAGGTATGCTACAGAGACAAGAGATGCTTTTACAACATAAGCTTCACAGTTTGACACTTGCTTCTTTATATCATCCTTTTCTTCAAAACTATCTTTTGTACTTTTCCCTTGGTATTTTAGTACAAGTGAGTATCTCATTGACATGTGTTTCCTTGAAATCTTGTTCCTTAATAGTAAAATCCCTTGAAAATTAATAAATTGTTTCTTTTCAGATTAAACTACTGAAGATTTCAGAATGGTTTTAAAAAATATAATGATATTTACTATTATAGACCACCCTGCTTGGATTGCATTGACTGAACACTATTTTTTTCATTTGTTCTTAGAAGGTTAATAAATTGGAACATAATTTATTTAATTTATTCTAATATGTATATAAATTTATGCATAATTCAGAAAATTCTACTTCTTTCTTGAATACAAAAGTTGGATTTAACAGCAACATAAAGATATGGTTGGAAGCATATCTTGGACTAGAAATTGGGAGAAGTAAAAAATAATCAAGATACACAAAATGGTAGAGGGAATACAGAATTTGTGGGCATATGTCTTTTCTCCTTTTTTTTTGTACACTTCATTTTATAATTTTTTATATGTATTCTGCTGTTTTGATTTATTTTGTTTTATTCACTGCAATTTTTTCTGTCTCTTCTGCTTTTTTCCAGGATCATCCAAAACCGGATTTTGATCGTTGTGCTGGCAGTCATCATCATCTTCACCACCATGATGGCTATTTATTTTTCTGTCAGGGGACGCTGATATCTTTGTTCTTCACTAAACAGCAACAAACTGCTTGTTCTGAGTAATTAAGACAAAGTGGTCACATGAATCATTCTCTTGCACTGACAGAGTCTCCCTCTCTTTTCCACTCTTCAACTCAGGTGCAAGTGGTGTAAAATATTTTGTATTATTGATGGCATAGTTGATGGCATGTGGGGCTATTTTTTTCTTACATATTTGTCCTTATCTGAGTGTTTTCAGGATCTTAATATTTGTTGGAGTGAGGGCTTGTTCTGGTATAAAAAGACTTAATATGTGTTGAATTGTTCACAGACAATTATCCTGTAAGTTACCAGAGTTTCATGAGGGAAGAGGGGTCTTTGCACTTTTCTTGTGCTGTGCAGGGTGTATGAATATCAAGCAGTATCTGACCTTCTGTGATTTAAAATATAAGTAAAGCAAAGACCAAATGATGTAGAAAGTGAACCTGTCTCCTGTGACTAACTCCCAATCACACATTATCGTAGTAGATGTAACCTGGTTAAGAACAGTAGCTAGTTTTAAAAAGAGAGCAACCTTAGGATGGTGTTTAATATATGATGTAAATCCAAAATTCAATTTAACCGTTTTTTTATTTAAAATTAGGCTTTCTTTTCTGCTTATTCAAAGCAATTCCACTTTCATCAAGATCATGAAAACACATCACTTACCTAAAATGTAGTTATGGCTACAGCCCATCTGTTGAATCTCTTTTAAATCTTCCAGTGTTGAGATATGTACTGATAAGCATTTCACACTAGGCCCTTAATGAAGATATTTAAAGATACTTATCTATTTGTTGCTGATTGAAAAGAGATCTTAAGTAATAGTTCAGCAACAAATGTGTGATTATAGTGCATTAAACAATCTAGATTTTTAATACTGGCCTGACTATATTGAGACTGCATGTTGGAGTATTTTGAGTGTATTAAATTCTGATGTGATATTCCCCTTTTTAAACAGAAACTGTAAAATGTTAATTTATATATGCTTTTAGCTGATATAATATATCATAGTTTCATCTACCTGTGTAAAAATGAGCTGTTTCTCTTTTCCTATTGGCTGTGCTTCTCCTTGACAGGTTGAGGTCATTTGGCTTATATTTAAGTTTGCAACTCCAACAAAGGTCTATCACTGCTGATGTGACAAAGTTCATATTTTTATAATAACTTTTGAATTCATTATTTTCAATCCTTTACAAATATTGCAAATGAAGAGGAATATTAAACCCTTGGATTTAAGCCATTAAATGTTTCTGAAAGATGTTCAAAGAAACAAAAATCTGGTGACTTTTAAATTCCCCCCACATTAGGCAGAAGCTGAGCCCTGAATTTTAATGTGTGCCTTAGTATTTTTGGGGTTTTGGCATCCCTATGGACTCTACTGATTTGCTGTGCTGTCCTTGGAGGCTGATTTTGGCCCTAAATGTCATCATTTTCTCTACATAGAAACAAATAAATCAGTTAAAAGGTTGTGGTACTAAAATGCCCAGCTAAGACATAGAAAGAGGATAATAAATGTAGAATAAAAGGATCCACAGGAAAAATGCTACTTATTGAAACAAATGCAAGCATGTAGGGTCAGCTCTGCTGTCTGAGTGTTACATGCAGCTCACAACAAAGTTTGGAAGTGGTTTATGTGCTGGGTTTCTCTACCAGCTCATGTCACTGGCTCAGGATGGTGCTGGAACAAAAGTTCCTGGGTAGCCCAGACCCAGGTTTCAGGAGGTGTTGCTCTGTGCAGCACAGTCATGTTCAGCTCCTCACCTTGATGGCCCTGCACTGTCACAGGGTCATGGGACCCCCCTGGCCGCCTCCTGGGGCATCCTCTGGTTTCATCCTTGGCAGGTGTGTGGCATTTACACCGTGGCTTTCAGACACAGAAAGGTTTGGGTGTTCAGCTTCCAGCCTTCAGGCATGATACACACTCAAACTGAGCCTTTGGGTTGTGTAAGCAGAGCTCTGGCCATTAGCTTCCAGTGATGGCACAGAGCTGAGTTCAGACAAATTAGGAGGAAGCCTGGCAGCATTACAGATATTTATCCTCAGCTCGGCAAATTAGGAGATGCATATTTTGTAAAGCAGAAAACTGTCAAGAAGGAAATCTTAAGCTCCGTCTGTTGCCTAGACATTCTCTGCATTGCCTCAATAATTTAACTATCATGGGAATTGATTCATGACTACTGATCTTAACAGTGACCTATGACTAGGTTTTGCCCTCTATCTAGCCACCTGCTGGAATCAGCAAAAAGCTGAAAGGAAGCTAGTTTTCCTTATCCCAGTATAAATCTAGGGCATAGTGTCACATCAGATACATCCACTCAGATAGGAATGAGGGAGAGAGAGAGAGTGCCACGCAAAGCCTTCATCTTCACTTTTGATGAGCCCGCCATCGCTATGTTTCTCG